AATAGAAGAGAAGAGAAGACCAATAGAAGTAGCTCAAGGTTGAGCTGTGGGGTCCTTGGTGTTCTCTGACCCTGGTTGTTTGCCTGCAGATGTTTCATGACCCAACTATGTAACATCATCAGTGCTAGAAGGGAGTGGGGTACGTTTTTACTCACTTGGGAATCTGACACTGAACTGCTGTCATCACCCATCTCCATCTCACCAAGAACCCACCACAGAGGTGTCTGTTCTCCTGTTGGATGGAGGCCGTAAAAGACCGAGAATGGGGTGTCACTTCCTTGCCTCCAATGACCCACATTCTAGAAGACCTCCCTTCCAACTCTGTTATTCTGTTATATTTGGGCTGTATTGGCTTGGTACTTTCTGACTTAGCATATGATACCCCCACAATGCACTTTGAGATTATTCAGAAAGGGATCAGGATCTTCTCTGAAGGACCTGGATTATGTGAAATAGAAAAGCACTACTGGACTGGGAAATTTTGGGAGTTGAAGTCCACATATCTCAAAATTGCCAAGGTTGGCAAACACTACTATAGATACTTAGAACTGAAACGATGACGTTTTACATAAAGAAACAAGTGCTTTACCCTTAAGATGTCCTTTCCTTAGACCTAAGATTCTAGCCCTCATGGATAAGAATAAAGAAACTCCGAGTTAGCAGAAATGGCTAAATTGACTGATTAAAGGGGGGGGAAAACACATTTACTTTTGTTTCTACTTGGAAACTGCTTCTGGACTTTGTGCCTGAGGTGGGAAAAAAAATTGAAACTTTGATTTTGGGTTTTACTCATTAGATAGATTTGTTGCTATAGAAATGGCTAGTTTATACTATTATGTAACTATAAAAAGAAATGCTTTTTCTTTCTTTTTCCTTCTTTCCCTACACTTTTCCCTTCCCTTCTCCCTCCCCTATTTTCTTACTATTTATTTTAGTATTGTATATTATAAACTAATAAAAAAAAGAATAGATTCCAAGCAAAATGTCTCAGCAGAGGGCAGCACCTGGCTGGACTTGGAAAGTAAACAGAGTCAGACTAAATCAAAGATTATCCAGGGCTGAAGCTAGTGAAGGAACCATCTCATAATAAAGCAACAGCAAATCATTTTTACACCAGGAAACCAAATATGGTCTTCTTCAAGAAATCCTTGGAAAATTTTTCCTTTACAGGTAATCTTCAGCTTATGACCATAATTAGGACTGGAAAATTTGTCACTGAGCAAAGTGGCCGTTAAGAGAGTCACACCAAACTATATAATTTTTTTTTTGCCACGGTAGTTAAGTGAATCTGGCTACCTCATTGATTTGCTTGTCAGAAGGTCACAAATGTCAATCATGTGACTCCGTGATGCTGCAACCATTGTAAATACGTGCCAGTTGCCAAGCACCCAAATCGTGATCACTTAACCATAGGGATGCTGTGATGGTCATAAGTCTAAGGACGGGTTATAAGTCACTTTTTTCAACGCATCCATAACTTTGAATGATCATTATACAAATTGTCGTAAGTTGAGGACTACCTGGCTTTTCCCCCTTATAACAAGAGAGACCTGTGGGTCCTCATGTTCAGTTCTCTAGTGTTTCTCAACTTTGACCAGTTTAAGATGTGTGGACTTCAACTCCCAGAAGTCCCTAGCCAGGAGAACTTAAACACACATCCTAAAATGGCCAAGGTTGAGAAACACTGTTCTAGGGAGCTGACTCCCATACTCTACTCCAGTGGTGGTGAACCTATGGCACGGGTGCCAGAGGCGGCACTCAGAGCCCTCTCTGTGGGCACCCGTGCCATCGCCCCAGTCCTAGGCCTTCAGCTGGGTTTTATAAAACTTTTTTGCTTTAGGTCTCCGCCACCGTGTGCAAAAAAAAAAAAAGTTCAATCAGTCAATTTCAACTTCTCGCAGGGGAAAAAAAGGTCTTGCAAATTTGGAATTGATTGATTGAACTTTTTAGTCCCACCCACTCTGCCGTTATCACCGCAGCCACGCCCACCCAATGGGCCACACCCACCCAATGGGCCACACCCAGCCAATGGGCCATACCCACCCAATGGGGCATGCCCAGCCAATGGGCCACACCCTCCCGGCACTCGACGATGCATAAATGGGTTTTGGGTTGCAGTTTGGGCACTCAGTCTCTAAAAGGTTCACCATCACTGCTCTACTCCATAATCTTTTTTTCAGATGGAAATGTAAAAGATTGAAATGTGTGCATTTTGCACATCAAGACTAGCACTTTATCCCTCCTTCCCCTTTGAGAACTGCTCTTGGTATAGGGCAGTGGTTCTCAATCTGTGGGTCGGGACCCCATTTGGGGTCAAACGACTATTTCATGGGGGTCGCCAAACAATGCAGTCCGCCATTTTTTTCCCCTTTTCCTTAGCTGTGCTACTCCCTCTTATTCTATTGTCTTTTGAAAGCCAATAGAATAGACTCTCTTGAATAGAGTCTAATTCTATTGGCTTTCAAAAGCCAATAGGAATTGTTCAGACTGTCTCTGCCCTGCTGAGCCCGCCAAAAGTCCCATTCTGCAAACGGTGCTGCACCAGTTGAGTAGTCCTCGACTTACGACCGGTTGAGTAGTCCTCGACTTACGACTGGTTGGGGGTCGCGGCATTAAAAAGGTTGAGAACCACTGGTCTAGTGGTTAAGGCACCGGGTTAGAAAGTGGGAGACCGAGTTCAAGTCCCGCCTTAGCCATGAAAGACGTCTGGGTGACCTTGGGCCAATCACCCCAACTCAGCTCAAAAGGTTGCTGTTGTAAGGAAAGCAGGAGGAAGGTGTATTGGATATATTCACCAGCTTGAGTTATTTATCAAAAAAAACAATAAAGGGATATCAATAATAAAATAAAAAAAATGTTTCTCCTTCCCCACCATCTCTTAAAATTAAAGTTCAGGGTGTATGGGATGGTGACCCTGCTAAAACCCATGCAAAGGACTACTAAGTGCCCTGCAGCCAGGACGACTCTGTTAACCCCAAAATAATCAATTTTATCAAAAGATCTAAGCTTGGGGGGGCTGCAGTTCACTTCACCATAGAGAGGCTAGATGAATGGAGGATTTAAACTGATCAAAGGTGGCTATGTCCTTCATCTGTCTAGCTCAGTGGTGGCGAACCTATGGCACGCGTGCCAGAGGCGGCACTCAGAGACCTCTCTGTTGGCATGTGCACCATGCCCCAGAGATGGCAACCGTCCCTCTTCAGCCAGCTTCCCACTAACTCACCAAGCTCCCATGTAGCCAGATGCATCCCAGCATGGCTGGTTTCCTTCCCCCCCCCCATCCCATCCTTCCTGGCCTCACATACTCTCCTTTTCCTGGGCACGACCCACTGCATCGCCTCCTCAGCTGAACTGCTGCCGGTGGGCTGCGGAGCCCCAGAATGTGCTGGTTGAGGGCCGGCAGGCTGTAGCTGCTGACAGACACGGTCGGCCCCCATATGCTCGCTGGCCTCTTTGTGCGGGGGTCAATGGTGTCAGGCAGCAGCCACTCCAGCCCCTGTCTCGCCTTGCCCCGCGGCAATGGCTCCTCTGCCCTGCTTCGCCTCACCCCGCAGGATGAGCCTCCTGCCCACCGCCCCACCTGCCAGAGACCCCCTGGATCTCCCCTAACCCTGCCCGGCCCCCATAGGCGTTCCTCCCCACGAGCAACATCGAGGTGACCATGCCCACCTTGGCCACACCCACCCAGTCTGCCATGACCACAGCAATGACCACCCAGTGGGCCACGCCCACCCAGCACCTGGCGATAAATAAGTGGGTTTTGGGTTGCAGTTTGGGCACTCGGTCTCTAAAAGGTTCACCATCACTGGTCTAGCTAATTTATGCATTGGATGAAGTGAGTTGCAGCCCACGGATGTTTAGGTTTTTTAATAAAATTGGCACAAGTGTCACCAGAGTTTTAATCTTTAATCTTTAATCTACAGACTAAGATAGTTCTCCCCTTCCTAAATCCCCACGCAACAGCTGTTTTCATCTTCTTTGAGAATGTGAGAATCTACAGCAAGACAAGAACGATGTCCTTGAAACAGTGCCTCAAAATGAAAAAGTATTATAGTGCAATAAGTTTAATTATTGAATTAGTACAGCATATTGGGTGAATACAACCAAACACCCCTCTATTTGGGACATTAAAGGAAAATGGTCCATTAAGTGAAAAAAAAGTCAAATAAAACTTTTGCAAGTGGAATCTTCTGAACATGTTCTTCAGGCTTTTTAGAGACATACCAAATCTAGTGCAGAATGGAAGTGGCACACATGTGAGTGTAGCCTTGTGCACCACTAAAGTATAATTTGAATTAAAATCATGCTAGCTGGGGAATTTTAGGAGTTGTAGTTCACACATCTTAAAGTTGTCAAATTTGAAAAACACTGGTCTAACTTATTTTACTGTACAGACACTTTGTATTCTCATTTGAATTATCTTGCCAGGGAAGGGGAGTGAAATAATTACTAACTGGCAGCAGAGAAACAGGGAAAACTCTAGAGGTCATCTAGACTTGGTAGTTCTGAATTGGCAGCCTTTAGGTGAAGACATTTAGAAGCAATTTAATTATTAATTTTACAAGTCCCCTGAGAGCTGACCCCTGCTCATTCCTAATAAGAAAGAGACATTATATACAAATTGTCTTCTTCAAACCTAACAATGCCAGAACTTAAGGCAACTTCAGACTCTTCAGTGTTAAAAATATATTTCTAATCCCTATCCCTCCACAGTTAAAGCTTTACTTCAATTTTCACTTATTAGTGCTATTTTTAAGGCAACCCATCCTTCTTCTGCAACACGTCGGAATTACCTAGCTCTTCTGATTTTCACCTGATATGGGGATTCTGCCCTCTGCGCATGCTCGTGTGTCCTCTTTTTCCCTGATCCCTTTCAAGATCCGATAATTTGAAGACCTGTGGAAAAACAGGGAGTCTTGGGAAATTCCCCAGTATCCTTGGTGTCCTTGATGCTCAGAGGGAGAGAGAAGCAGGTAAATGTCAATCCCCAAGGTTCTTACCTGCGTTAGTATCTCCTGATGCCAGGTACAGCAAACTTGAGAGCACAAGATAGATTTTCATGATGCGACACTAAAACAAAACAAAAAACAGAGACGGAGAAGGAGAAGGAGATGAAGAAGAAAGAAGAAGAAGAAGAAGAAGAAGAAGAAGAAGAAGAAGAAGAAGAAGAAGAAGAAGAAGAAGAAGAAGAAGAAGAAGAAGAAGAAGAAGAAGAAGAAGTAGAAGTAGAAAAAAGTGATAATAAAGTGTATGAGAAGGTTTTCCCTACTATCTCCACAACCTTACTGGGAGCGCAGTTTTTGCAAAAGACAGAGTAAGTTAAGAGTTGTCTGAGCCGTATCTACTTTGCAATAATCCAGTGGGCTTCCTCGTTGCCTGCTCCTTAAGAGAGGATAATTTCCCCCACCCCAAAGGCTTAGCTTCACCCTCTATATAAAGTGTTTTGTATGTGTGTGTGTGTGTAAGTCTGCGCGGTCTGAATCATAACTCCAGAGAAGGCGGCGTTGGGCAGCAGCCAGCAATGTGTCGAGGGGAGGGTATTGTGAGTATGTCTCTCTGAGGCCTGCCTGGATGTGGTTATAACCAAATCATTGTTGGAACTATCCTTTTCTGGAGGGCAATGGATTCTGGACTTTAGTTTTTCAACGTGAAAACATGCATTTGAACAAGAGAAGTACAAGAAGCAGCTGACCAGAAATTTTCTTCTCCTTCATTTTCTTCTTCTTTTCTTCCTTTTTTCCCTATCCTCCTCTTCTTCCTCGTTGCTGTTGTTACTATTACTTCCCCTGCTGTCGTTTCTGGAAATCCTGATTCAACTTGTTGTCACTACATGGCCCAATTTTCCTCTGTGCAGTTCCAAAGACACACCCCTCACCCTTGGATAGCAAAACTACTAAGACTCTTAACACATACATCTCCTTAAAGAGGGGCATCCAAGTTTTTAAAATGCTATTTATTGATGCTTTCTTAGGCTGGTCTTTGACCGTAATAAAGATTAGAATTGATCTGAGATTTTCCCGCTGTAGCAATCTGAATTCTCCCTAAATTATCCTACTCACTTAGGCAAGGGAGGAGGCCTTCAAGTGGAATATAGTTAGTCCTCAGATTACAATGGATTTATCTTAAGGTTAGTTACAACCTGGATTTGAAGTTCTGACTACAATAGTAGTCATGTGACTGAATTTCAGGCACTCAGCAGCATGGCTGTGTTTATGGCTGTTTGCAGCATCCCATGGTCACATGACTGCATTTGATGACCGTTTTCCCAAAAACTGGTCCTTACATCTGGTTTTCAGCAAACCTGTGCCCATAGTGAAATACTGGTTTGCTTAATGACTGCAGTGTTTGCTTAACGATAACCACAAAAAAAATCCAGTCAGTCACATGACCAACCTGTTTTATCAAGACATATCAAGACTTACAACCGTGATGGGCAAGGTCTATTAGGGCCATACATCAAGGAGTACCTGTATTAAAGGACTTTTGGTAGCACTGCATTTAATGAAGGTAGTGACTTACGACCACAACTGGGCTCAAAATTTCCATTATTAAGCGAGACGTTAAGTACATTTTGCCCCATTTTATGACCTTTCTTGCCACAGTTGTTGAGTGAATCGCTGCAGTTGTTAATTTAGTAACACAGTTATGAAGTGAATCTGGCTTCCCCATTGACTTTGGTTGTCAGAAGGTCACAAAAGGTGATGACATGACTCTGGGACACCGTCATAAATACGAGTCAGTTGCCAAGCTGACTCTGATTTTGAATCATGTGACCATGGGGATGCTGCAACAGTCGTTAAGTGTGAAAAATGGTCATGAGTCACTTTTTCAGTGTCATTGTAACTTTGAACGGTCACTAAATGAACTGTTGTAAGTTAAGGACTACCTGTAATGAATATTCCCCCTCCCTTCCTTTTCTTAGGAAGCATTTGCATCAATGAAAAACTTTGCTCTTACCACACAGAGAACCATTAGCCTAGTCACCAGCTTCCCCATTTCCCCCTATGATCTATTGGCATGCTAAAAACCAACCATAAAAAAGTAGGCCATGAATACATAAATCTTGCTAAATTTACCAAGCGGAAGCTTGAATAATTGTGGACAGGCAGGAATGAACAATTGCACAAAGAGATGGTCTTGCACATAAGAAGGCATCCAGAAGGATGCAAACCTTTCCAGCCCAAATTCCTCCTTAGCGAGCTGTTCCAGTTTTCAATCTGTATTTTCGGCTTTCTCCCCAAAGAAGGCATATGAATGATTTGCTGTGCCCCATTTAGACTCAGTGGTTCTCAACCTGTGGGTCGGGACCCCATTTGGGGTCAAACGACCATTTCACGGGGGTCGCCAAACGACGCAGTCCGCCATTTTTTCCCCCTTTTCCTTAGCTGTGCTACTCCCTTTTATTCTATTGGCTTTTGAAAGCCAATAGAATGGACTCTCTTGAATAGAGTCTAATTCTATTGGCTTTCAAAAGCCAATAGGAATTGTTCAGGCTGTCTCTACCCTGCTGAGCCCGCCAAAAGTCCCATTCTGCAAACGGTGCTGCACCAGTTGAGTAGTCCTGGACCTACGACTGGTTGAGTAGTCCTTGACTTACGATCAGTTGGGGGTCGTGGCATTAAAAAGGTTGAGAACCACTGCCCTATAATGAACAGTTGAGAGAGTTAGGTAGAGGTATGTCCAGCTTATGAAAGAGAAGAATTAGGGGAGGCATGATAGCTGTCTTCTAGTACTTGAGGGGCTGTCACAGAGAAAAGGGGATTGACTTGTTCTCCAAAATCCCAGAGGGCAGGACAGGAGGCAATGGGTGGAAGCTCATCAAAGAGAGATCTGATCTAGAATTAGGGAGACATTTTCTGACAGAGAGAGCAACTAATCAATGGAACAGCTTGCCTCCCAGAGCTGAGCGTGCTCAAACACTAGAGCAGGGCTCTTCAAACTTGGTCCTTTTATGATTTGTGGACTTCAACTCCCAGAATTCCTCAGCCAGGCACGCTGGCTGAGGAATTCTGGGAGTTGAAGTCCACAAGTCATAAAAGGGCCAAGTTTGAAGACCCCTGCACTAGAGGTTTTCAAAAATAGACCGGACATACATTTGCTTGGGATGGTGTAAGACTCCTGCCTTGACCAGGAGGGTTGGACTAGAACAGGGGTCCCCAACCCCCGGTCTGTGGACCAGTATTGGGCCGCCGCATGCCAGCAACTGGTCCGCACAAACAAGCAAAGCCTCATTTGCGAGATGCAGGCAGCACACAAAACCACACGTCCTCCGGTCCGTGGAAAAATTTCTCTCCATGAAACCGGCCCCTGGTGCCCAAAAGGTTGGGGACTTCTGGACTAGAAGACCTCCAAGATCCCTTCTGGCTCTATCTTATCTTCTTCAAAAAAATAGAAACTTCAATCAAAGGTGCTCCTTGTTATTGAAAAGAGTAGTTCAAAAATTCAAAACAATTTTCTTGCTCTCATCACTATGATTCTATGTTCTATGGCTGGCTGAGGAATTCTGGGAATTGAAGTCCACAAGTCTTAAAAGTTGCCAAGTTTGGAGACGCCAGTTCTGTGTTCATTCACCATCCTGCTGATGAAACAGAAGGTCTGGCAGTTGAGGATCCCCTGTTGGTTGGCCAAGCTGGTTGATCCATTCTCCTCCAGGCATCTTTCTTCGTATTTGCCTGGACTTGGATTGCAAGGAAATCCCAAAGACTGGATTCTGTAGGCATCTATTCAAGCAAGATAGTTGTTAAGTGAGTTTTGTCCCATTTTATGACCTTCTCTTGTCACAGTTGTTAAGTGAATTACTGCAGTTATTACGTTAATAGCACAGTTGTTAAGTGAATATGGCTTTCCCATTGACTTTGCTTGTCACAAGGCTACAAAAAGTGATCTCATGTCCCCGGGACACTGAAACCATCATAAATACATGCCAACTATCAAATGTCCGAATGTTGACCATGTGACCATGGGGATGCTGCAAAGATCGTAAGTGTGAAAAACGGTCATAAGTCACTTTTTTTCAGTGCTGTGACAACTTCGAATGGTCACTAAACAAATGGATGTAAGTCGAGGTCTACCTGTGTACCTGCCAGTTTCTCCTTTCAGCCCAAACAATGGAACAACAGTTAATTCTGTACATCCAAATGTACAATAGCTGAAAGGATGGGATGGGGGGAGGTAGAGGACCTGCCCAGGATAACAGAAGGTGTAACATCTGTTCCCTCTCTCCTCATCAGCATCCCTCCTCCCCCAGCCTGAGCTGTCAGGTAGGCTATGTGGGACACAGATCTTACCTGTCTTCTGAACCCATGCTCCAAAGTAGCTCAAGTGATAGGTGAAGAAATGTATAGCTCCTTTCTGGCCCCTTGAAAGGTAGCTAAAAAATAAATAAATAAAAGAAGCAAGCCCAAAGGGCAGGTGATAAAAATCTTATAGTTCTCAATTTTCAACCATTCATTTAGCAACCATTCAAACTTACAGCAGCTCTGAAAGGGGAAAAAAAGACTTATAACTGGTCCTCACACTTATGAGGACCGCATCCCCATGGTCCCATGATCAAAATACATGCTTGACAACAGGCATATATTTACAATGGTTGCAGTGTCCCAGGGTCATGGCATCACCATTTGTGACCTTCCCAGCCAGCTTCTGACAAAGTCAAAGGGGGAGCTGGATCCTGTTCATGATCGCATGATTCACTTAACAACCGCAGTGATTTACTTAACAATTGTGGCCAAAACGGTCATAAAATCAGATGCATCTCACTTAACAACTGCCTTGCTTAGTAACAGTAATCTTGGTCCCAGAGGTGATCATAAGTCAAGGACTACGTCTAGTGGGAATTGAATGTTGGAAATCCCAGGTGCGGATTTAAAAAAATGATCCCAGTGAAGGGAAGGAGCAAAAACCAGGACAAACATGATCTTTTGTCTGAATAAAAAGCAAGGTTGTTCCCCCTTTCTCCATGCAGAAATGAAGCTTCAGTTTCCCCTTGACCAATCCCCAGAGGCAGACCACATTTTTCCTTGCCCTCCTGCGCTGTTTCTTTGATGTTACGCTGTGATCTGACTTTTTTGAGTTGGGGGTCGAGAGAAGAGAGACATCTGCAGACACAATAAAGATAAACCTTCACCATCACTGTCTCTGTCTCCTCCAGGCCTCTTGCTTAGAGCACCATCCCGCTTAAATTTCTCTTCTGTCTACTTGAAGGCTAAAAGAACAAGCAGCCTCAACTGTCTCCAGAGATGAACACTGATGTTTCTCAAGAATAATTTTTTTCTTTGTGAAACAGTATAACAGAATAACAGAGTTGGAAGGGACCTTGGAGGTCTTCTAGTACAACCCCCTCCTCAAGCAGGAGACTCTATACCATTTCAGACAAATGGGTATCCAACCTCTTCTTAAAAACCTCCAGTGATGGTGCACTCAAAACTTCTGGAGGCAGGTAGTTCCACTGATTAATTGTTCTAACTGTCATAAAATTTATCCTTAGTTCTAGTTGCTTCTCTCCTTGATTAGTTTCTATCCGTTGCTTTTTGTCCTGCCTTCAGGTGCTTTGAAGAATAGCTTGATCCCCTCTTCTTGTGGCAGTCCCATAGGGCCAACACATCTGGACTGCCAAACTGTAAAGCAGTGTTTCTCAACCTTGGCAACTTTAAGATAGATGGACTTCAACTCCCAGAATTCCCCAGCCAGTATGCTCTAGAGTCCTTCAGGACTGGGATAAGTTATTTTATATTTCACAATATATCTTCTTGCAGACTCTGCTTGACAGATACAATTTAATAAGGAAATTATGTTCCAGATACCACTGGAGACCTTAGTGGGCTGGACCCTTTCTCAGTCATAGCCACTCGCTCTGGAACACCTTGTCCCATCCAGCATGCTGCCTGGGGACTTCTGGGAGTGGAAATCCACATGTTTTAAAGTCGTTGAGATTGTGAAATGCTTCCATGGAAAATCACCTGATTTTTTAAACAAATATTTTTTCAAAGGATGTATAAGGGATGTGGAAAAACCCACATCAGCCTTCCACAATGATTTCATAGGCATTCTTAGAATGCACAAATAGTTGATGGCTGTGGCCCAATTGCCAGTAAAAAGTAGAAAAAATCAGAGAAAATCTTGTGTAGCTAGAACGGGAATCCTTGTTTATATTGTCTTCTGGGGAATGTTTTATGAATGGTGCAACCACATGGCAGCCTTGTTGCAAATGACCAATCTTGCAATGGCAGCCATTTTGTGAATGACCAACCTGCAATGGCAGCCATTTTG